TGGGGGTGCAGGGCAGAAGGCTGAGTGTGTGGGAGGGTGGGGGGTTCAGGACAGAGGGCTGGGGGTGTGTTGGGGTGAGGGGTTCAGGGCAGAGGGCTGGGGGTGCAGGGCAGAAGGCTGGGGGTATGGGGGTGCAGGGCAGAAGGCTGGGTGTGTGTTGGGGTGGGGGTTCAGGGCAGAGGGCTGGGGGGTGCAAGGCAGAAGGCTGGGTGTGTGTGGGGGGGTGCAGGGCAGAGGGCTGAGAGTGTGGGGGAGCAGGGCAGAGGGCTGGGGTGCTCGGCTCATGGGAGTGCTCCCAGCCCCCTGCCCTGAGCGGCTCAAGGCACGGGGCTGGAAGGGATATGCCCTGTTCCACCCCCTTCCCCCAGGCTCCGTCCCTACCTCTCTCTGCCTGCTCTACGGAACTGTGTGCATGCTGCCGCTCGCTAGGGCCATCAGCTGATTGGTGCAGGGACGGAGAGGAGGAGGGGCAGGAAAGCACTGCTGGGGGAAGAAGAGGGGGATAGGGGAAGCTTGGCTGCTGCAGAACCAAGCTTCTGTCTCCTGCCCCCGCAGGGGAGAACGGTGGGCGGGGAGGCTGAGTGGGGCTGGGGGCCAGGACTACGTCAGGGAACTGCGTGCCACTCAAAAATCGGCTTGCGTGCCGTGTTTGGCACACGTGCCGTAGGTTGCCGACCCCTGGATTAGATGATTAATTGCTTTTAGATCACTTCTTGATGCTTCATTGTATCTTTAGATTGGGTAAAATCTGAATTTGAGTAGCATGTTGCAGGTGAAATATATTCATGCCATATTGTTCCTCAGAACTATATGCTAAACATTGCTAATGTATCAAAAAGTTTTTAAAAAATAAAACTGGTATTAAGTTGCAAAAAATAAAAAGCAAGTTTTCATTTTAAATTATCCAATCTTTTACCTTAAAGCATGATGCTCGATACAGTAGTTGCACAACATGACCAATGCTTGTTTTTGATGCCTGAGGAAATCTTGGTTCTAGTCTTTGCACAACAAAAAGTACCAAAACTTTTCTTGAGAGCGCAGAGCCATCTTCAAGTGCCAGTAACACAAGTTTCAAAGCCTCTTCTTGCATAGCTTTAAACAGATGTAAAAAAAAAAAGAAATAGTCATAAGAAAAGTAAGACTACCACATATTAACAGTATACACAGGAACATTTGGTTTGAGAGTTCTTGTCCACAATATATCTTAACTATTTTTAGTCCAACAAAACAACCACAGCAAAACACAGTCAGTGAAAACTTGCCCCATTTTAAGAAATCTGCTAGTCCAGATATGAAGTAGTACGCAGAAATGCTTGAAATGCAGTAAGTGGTTCCAGTTAAAAGAAGACAGAATGATTCAGGGCTCCCTGTTTTCAATAATATTGGCGCTTTTTAACTTTTGGTTTTACATTGCAGTCTCAACATTCAGCCTTTGTCATTTCATATAGCTTGCCAATTTTATACCAGGAAGCTGCATGAAATCTAGCGGTAGGAATGGCACAGGAATATTAGAACTACCCATCCGAATTACAAGTTCGTGGCATTGCCAACTTAAACAGAATCTTCTGATGAACCCTGCACTCAATTTGGCATCAATTTACTGGTAACAGCTGGTTTATATCAAAGAGTCCAAAGCCATAAATTATAACTTAACTGCTTGTAGCACAGTATTACCATGCAACCTGGGCTGGTGGTTTTGGACTCTATGACTTAAGATATAGGCGTAAACATAACTGAATGAGAAACCTTGTGCCTATGCACTAATCATAGTGCTCAGTACTATCTGCATGTTACATAACAGTACTGGGCTACAGACAATAAGGAAAATACATCTATTTATAATAGGCTGAGATTTGTGGAACATTTCCCTGCAGTATCTAGGGATAGACCATAATAAAACCAAGAGTTATACTGGTTAGAATAACCAACCTTCTCTCCCGCCCCCTCAGCTCTTTCCCATAAACCTGGAAAACAAGAGCACATCTACCTCCAAACTGCAATGACAAGACTCCCAAGAAATGTTCTTCCTGGTAAGAAAAGAAACAGACAGATCCATTCTGCAAGAGTCCTACCTGGCCCTAGAAACTGGCATCCTCGTGCCCTGACAGCAGCCCAGAGATTGGCAGACAGTTGCTGAGGGTTCTGGTGCTGTAAAATCAGTTCTGTTACAGTTCTTTCACCAAGTGAGCGTGCTGCCCGCAGGGCTCTAACACGACCCTCCTCCTCCACCAGCTGACAATTCACCAGCGTCACCAGTTTCCTTTGCATTGGACGGCTCAGGGCACTCTGATTCAAACTAGCAACTCCTTTAAAGAAAGAGGTAAATGGTCAACTAAGTCTTAATAAGAAGACAGATTGATCAACTAAGAGAAAGGCAAACAACTATTTCTAGTATAGGCTTAAATCACAGAACAATGCCATATCCCATCATGAACACTTTTAGCCTAAGAGGCCACTCACCATCACAACGTTGATCCAACAGTACTGATCCTTGCTGTTGAAGCATCTCCCACTCAGCCCCCCACTGCTTATCAAGATCTGTACTAAATTGGTCTATTTTTACTCTATGCCCCTTTTCTGTGCCATGTTTGATACCACCATGCCATTTTTAGGTTTTATCTAGGATCCCCACCTCACTTTTGGAGCGTATAACCCTTCGGGCAGCTTTCAACATGGACCACAGAACATTCCTCAGTTCCCTGCAGATCACCATAAAGGCTTTCTGGCACTTCTCTGTTTAAGTCCATCCCTTGTCACTACAATCATACATAGATAGCTGACTAATAAAGGAATTTAAATTAAAATCTAATTATGTCAAACCCTGTCTAGCTTAAAGAGAGTTTGGGTTCCTTTCCTATGCTTAGGTGGGAACATTATTAAATGAAAAGCAATATTAGTTACCCTCAAAAGCAAAAACAATATAGCTGCTAGACCAGGGGTCGGCAGCCTTTCAGAAGTGGTGTGCCGAGTCTTCATTTATTCACTCTGATTTAAGGTTTCATTTGCCAGTAATAGATTTTAATGTTTTTAGAAGGGCTCTTTCTATAAGTCTATAATATATAACTAAACTATTGTGGTATATAAAGTAAACAAGGTTTTTAAAATGTTTAAGAAGTTTCATTTAAAATTAAATTAAAATGCAGAGCCCCTCAGACCGGTGGCCAGGACCCAGGCAGTGTGAGTGCCACTGAAAATCAGCTTGCGTGCAGCCTTCAGCACGCATGCCATAGGTTGCCTATCCCTGTACTAGACTGTTATTTACCAAGCACCATAGATGTGCATGAACCAATAAAGATATAAAGGAAAAGTTACCAGAAAGATAGTTGTTCTATCACTTCACAGCCTGAAACCAGTTAGAGAACATACTTCTGTTAAGAGTAAGCTTGTCTGATATACCAAGAATTGCAGAGTTTTAAGACAACTTACCCTTTCCTCCACTTAGTGGCTTTAAGTAGAGTGCCAAATCCTCAACACATTTCTTTGCTACCTCATAATGTTTGTTCTCTCCTAGGTTACTTAACTTTACTGTCTGATGATCTGGTACCTACAAAAATTGCAAAGGAAAGAAAAGGGAGTTGTAGCCAGTGTACATAATCTTTCACAGGACCTGCCTTACTCACCTTAACACAGTATGAGCATCATTATTGCTAATTATATAACACCATAGATCTCTCATAGATAACACTGCTCTTCACAAAGAAATGAAAGACAGGTTCAACCCCAAGGTGTTTGGAATGTAATAATCACAATACAGCAAGGGATTATAGAGGATGATGGTTATGGTGATGAAAAATTATGATATTATTATGATATTGTTACAGCACATTTCTTGTGGTGTTTTTGGGTTGACACATTAAAATGTGGAGATTAAGGAGGAAAACAGGGCAGGAGGGGAGGACTGTGATGGAAGACCAGCTGAAAGAACTAACCTCTGAAAGGTTATTTGAAAGGGAAGGTGCATGGTACACAGGGCCTGGGAGGATGATCAATGCATAGAGGCAGCATGAGAAGAAGTGCAGAGTTGCTTGTAGGAGACCAAGGAAGTGACCAGATGCAATTAACTGGCCAAGAGCAGAACACGAAAAGGTGAGCAAGGAGAAATTAGAGACAGAAATGTAGCCAAGCACAGCATGCAGTCAGTCCTTGAAGGGAAGAATGGTGAGTCTGAACTTGGTGCATGACTCACCGTGGGCATGATCTGGTCACAGTGGCAGAAAACAAAGGGGATTTTAGTTACAATGTACTGAACAAGCTAAGATGTACTGTGAGAAGTCGGGCAGTCAGAGGAAGTGAGATTGCAATAGGCAGACAAGGTGACTATTACAAACACTATATTAGCAATAGAGAATGAAAGAAATATATGGAGTTGAGAAGGGAAAACAAACTAGTGTATGACACTATGTTCCATAACATACACAATGATTTTTTTAATATACACATTGTTATCACATCTGTCTGGATGACAAGTTAAAATAAGCAACGCACTAAGCAGCTCACAATAAAATACATCCTCTGCAGGTAGCACCCCAATTCTTTTGAAGAATTATTAACTTGAAAAAGGTACAAAATAATTTGAAAACACATGTGACAGGCCACAAGAGAGACAGATTATTTACTTACAAGTTTCAAGTGCGATGCGGACTTTATCAACATTCCTGTGCCACCACTATGAGGCACTGGAGGGAAAAATTTCTAATTCAATTAGTTGATGAGACACTCTCTCAAGTGCAACCTAAATGCCATCATGGGTGCTTCAAAAGAATGGATGTCTGAACCTGGGTTCAGAGGTCAGATTCTTTTCAATGTAAGAAGTAACATGAGGTTTTGACTCAACTAGTTCCCAATGCGAAGGATGAATGAGTGTAATCTGCAAATTAATTTTTCTAATGACACTTCTGATTGTCCTCTAGGTCCAGGAGGCATTTATCTACAAGCTCACACAGCTATACACCCAACCATATTGGAAGACGCTCTTAAAAAATCATTTTACAGACATATTCTGTCCAGAACTGTGGCACATTACAGAATCACTCTTATAATAGAGTCCTGTCTACACAAGACGACGAAATATTGTTTTAGTGGTGACAAGGGACAGCTGTCTGGTAACCTGGTCCCTTGTTGTGATTGTCTTTGTAGGGTACACAGGCCTTCAGATGCTATAAAGGTCAGACCTTTTCTTTTCCTTGATTGGAACAGTGAGGATGTATTCCTGCTGCAAGGGTAAAATGTAAATGGTAATGTTGGAAAAAAGTAAATAGCTCCTTAAGCCATACCTGGGCTCCAACTAACTGGAGAAGTGCAAAGTTTACTGGAAGCACATCGATGTCTGTGTTGATGGCAGTCTGGTCGAAAGGACATGCTTTGCGATGAAGCTTGTTCAGGCAGGTCTTACAGACAGTGTGTGAGCAACCTAAGCTGATGGGCTTGTGCACATTCTCATCAAACTCATTGTAGCAGATTGGACAGGACAGAAACTCCGTCCACTGAGCTGCCTGCACAGGCATTGTGGAAGTTGGACGCTTGTTTAGCAGACTAGAAGACCATTATTTCACTGTCCCGTATTTTGGCAGCTGTAAAGTGAACGAACAGAGGATGTACGGTAGTTTCTACACAACATTTTGCAGTCATTTACAATTAGTATTTAATTTAAAAAGCAAAATTTTAACATTTTATGAAATAAAACCAAAAAAACGTATGTTGAAATCCCCATATAATGAATCCATCCCCCTCCCCCGTTATCTCAATCTATAGTAACATTTCAATAATCCCATCACATTCTGCTAGCTAGTGTACACTAATCCAGGTTGTGAGCCTATCTTCAGTAAATGTCATCAGTGTTTCCTGTATACTCATGGAATTCAAATACTTTAGGGAAAAACATTGGTTGACACATGAAAGGTTAAAGGCAGAACCTCAGATACAAATCAAGTTCACAATTTTCAAAAACTAACACCACTCCCTAATAATGGAAGGGCGGTGGGAAGTCAAAGAAATATTATATTTGTTTTACTATCATATAAAGTGGAGTGCAACATGATCACAGATGTTTCATCCTACTGATCTTGTTCAAATTTAAACAGGTGTCAGGATAAACATCGCTTTTTAGAAATACAATCCATTATATGCTTAAATTTTTTGTTTTTTAAAAGTAGTAAAAAATATTTATTGCTGGAATGGGAGAGTAATTCTGTGCTCACATCACCTCCCTTGTAACAGCCCATCAGAGGGCTGCTTCCGGGGGCATACATTTCTCTATTTGCATTTTACACATTCGCTACCTCATATTTATAACAGTGAAACTCCACGTACGTAAGTCTGTGGCAGAAAGATCTCTGCTGTACTGGAAATCCAGGTATTTGGGGGCAATTACACAGTTGATACTTTGTTCACACAATTGTTTGCAGAGCATAGCACTGTAGCTGGTTCCACAACAAGGAAAGGTACAAATATAGAGACCAATTTACAATATGGAAATGTCACCAAAACGCCATATAGATCCAACAAGCAACAACTTCAGTTTATTATAAGCAGGTCTTTCCTTTGAAATATCTCACTTTGTGCAGAGGTTCCATGTAAATCCTATGTAGAAATATGTTTGAAGGGAAAAGGGAAAATTTACTCATATATTCTGAAAGACACATCCTATCTGAGATAATCTAAAATTAATAAAAAGAAAACAAGCCTAAATATTTAAAGACTACTCCAGCTAAGAACTTCAGCTAAACTATTTAAATTCAAGCCTTCAACGCTGACAATATCAAACTTGTAGGTGCTTGTAAAGGTTAAAGCTAAACAGCCACACCCATAACTACCCTGCAATAATTTATCTGGTGGCTTTGATGTTACCAAAAACAAAGATGGTTTGCGTAAGTGCTATTAATTAACCTGTCCAATTAGCACTTTTCCTTTTAAAAATACAGATGAACTCCCATTACTCCCTACACTGCTATATTTATAAAGCGTTAAAGGCTCAATACTATATTTTCTTTTCCAAAAATGGAAATAAGGTAATGTTATTGTTTTGAGGAAGCCAACAGTTCCCCCGTCCCATCTGAATTCAACAACTTTTCATTTTGAATCAATTGTTGGCTGTTCTACAGTTCAGTTAGTGATGTTAGTATATGTTGGACCACTAAAATACTTATTAGAACACTGCATAAGACTTGAAAAGTAAATTTTATTTTAATTATGACCATCTGTTTAGAAATTCTATTTAGCACTGAGCATCCAATGCTCTTTAAGCAACAGGATACTTGTACAAGATGTTCTTATTTCAATTAGTTTTTCAACATCATTTGGGAATTACTTTTTTCTAATTTTTGTATAACATATAAGACAATGCAGAAATTAAACTTTGAACTCATCCCACTGACACTAAATGTGGATCCAATTTCTTCAATACTAAGTGAGCATAGTCACACAGTGAAGTATGTTTTAACCCTACTATAAAGCACACACTTTACTAGGGAGGGACACAGACAACTTTTTTAGGCAAAACATTGCATATCTGTAAGGGTTATTATTGTTACATGCATCTTCAGACATGAATGTTCAAAAGTACAATAAGCAACAGTGAACAAAATTCTAAAAGCATCCTGATTTCTCTATGAATTTAAATGTATAATGCCATTTAGTCCCCCTCAACCCTTGAGTATCCAATAGTAGGAAAACAAAAATGCAATTGTAGAGAAAGGATCTATCTACTCTAGATGTTTTCCTTAAGACTTCCCATCCTTGCTACCACAGGTTCTGACAGATTACTGCTAATGCCAGTGAAGACTGGTTGCTGGTGACCAACAGCATTTTCATCTCTGTCAGGTTAGACAACACAGGTAACATATTCTAAATCTCCACCATTGGAGTAGCAAGTGGGAAATTTTAAGAAGTATAGTACACATACAACCTAGATATTAGCATGACACGAGTCTCCATTCCCACATCCCTCATTAACAGATTCAAAGGACAGTAATCTTTATTCAGAGAGCATATATATATATGCTTAGCTCCACACTTAATTCAGAAGCTTGCAGGTAACAGTAGCAACTCATTTTCTAGGCTTTTAAATAAGGGCTAGTCACACTAGAATCACTACAGTGGCACAGCTGTCCCAATGTAGTTGCACCGCTGTAGTGCTGCTACTGCAGACGCTCTACACCGATGGGAGAGCGCTTTCCTGTCGGCATAATTACTCTACCTCCCCAAGCGGCGGTCACTATGTCGGCAGGAGAGTTTCTCCAGCCAACATAGCGCTGTGCACATTGGTGCTTAGGTCAATGTAACTTACATTGCTCAGGAAGTGGCTTTTCCACACTCCTGAGCGATTTAAGTTATATGAAGTAAGTGATAGTGTGTACAAGCGAAGAGTCATTTTCCTGATCTGTGCTGGAACGTAATGTAAATAAAACATTAATTCCTCAAAGAGTATACCAGCAGCTTTTAAGACCTTATTTTGAATATTTAATCATCATAAATGAGGATCCTATTGAGCATGTGTTGACCTTCAGATTTCTTGTCAGGGAGGAATCTAATTAAATCAGCAAGAGCTGGGGAAAGTTCTCAACTCCTAAAACTTCAAGCAGCCATATTCAGAGGAGGCCTTCAGTACCGTTTCACGCATGCCAACTATTCTGATATTTTTGCTCTCCAGTATCTTCAAAAAGGATTCTAACTAAAGTCTACTAATTATCAAGTCAGTTTCTTAAAAAAATATAAAGAAATGGTTGTACAGACCCGATTTTTCTGACAAGGAACACATTTAGGGATGTTCTGTTGAAAAACAAATTGCTCTAATAATCTAAAAATTGAACAAAATTAAAAAAAAGTGCCCTACCAAAAATCATTCCGACAAGAACTGTCAACTTAAAAATCTAGTCTCTTTTAAGAGACGAACTGAAAGTATTTTCAGATGCTACCATTACCCTGGTCTTGCGTCTGATGAAGTGGGCATTCACCCACGAAAGCTTATGCTGCAATACTTCTGTTAGTCTTAAAGGTGCCACAGGACCCTTTGTTGCTCATTACCCTGGAGTTGTCCTGATCTTTCTGTGTGAAAAACCCACAAACATGATATAGAAAATGACTAAGCACAAAGTGCTGTCAAATACAGAAAGTAAACAAACGAGTACTTTTTTTTATTGTTAACAATAGTAGGTAAAAATATTCAGAAAAATGTGATTTTTCAGCTGTTATCTTATTAAGAGCAGCATCTTAGATTACTAAACCTGAAGATTTTAGAAGTCTAAATATACTGTTTGCTATTTATTATGTAACTATTGCATTTAGGACAGACTAGTTCAGATAAATCCAGTTTCACTTTCTGCTTCTGCTGCAGGAGCAAAATGCTGTTGAGTTTGAGTTCACAACCCTGCAAGGGAATGTTTAAATTTTCCTATCAGCCACAATTAGTAAACTCGACTTTCCTTCAAACATTAGTTTTTTTAAAACTTTATAATTTGTGAAGCGGATTCACAATGGAATGATATGGTATATGGGGCTCATATTTTAAACCAATTCTGGTATGCTTACTGGATCCTGTAACCTTCCTTATGGGCTTGATTCAAAACCCACTGAAGTCAATTAACTTCAGTGAATTTTCGATCCAGCCCAACTTTTAATTCTACTATTAAGCACTTTGAACTATTAAGGATTGAGTGCATTAGGCATTAAAAATAACAACATGGATTTAGTTCTAATATTAAACAATCTTACTATGATTTTAACCATGCTATGAGGCTGAGGTGTTCTTTACATAGTAGCTAATTGCAGACAACATAGGATTTTAAAATGGGCAAATTTCAAGGCATCCATTGCAATTTTCCATCTGTGCAAGCAGATTAATCACTTGTTTGGACTATAATGAGTAGGTTTGTCAAGCCTTCCTTCTGAAGTTACTTAAAGTTGAAAGCATCTTGTCTAGCTCAGTAACTTATTATCCATGTTATCAAATTATTAGTATTAAATTACTTCCTAACAGGACTTTAGTCTTCCATTTATTACTCTAACAACCATCACATGCAGATGTAAGAAACTGGGTTCATATTAAAGACCCAGGAAGTGGAAGTGGGCAGTCCCAATAATAGCTTTGCATTTTTTAACTCTGGTGACTCAAAGTGAAAATAAATTCTCTTTAGATAGAACAGACTTGTTTGTTTCTGCATATCGCATAATGTCCATCACATTTAAATCTTCTGAGAAACAGCCTAAATGTAAAGGGAGTTGTTCAATGACCAGTACAGGACAATATTCCAAGACACTGTTCTGATCTGACTTTTTATTGGAAACCCGCATTTATCTCTGGGGAAAGCAGAAGACTCATACTGTAGGAAGAAACCTTTGTTTTATTTAAGAAACATCACATCAACCTACTGCAAAACAAGAAGCTAGTTTTTTCATGGCTCCTCATGTTATGGACTTGAGCTAATAATTTTTAAAAACCTGGCTTAGTCTTCTGTTCTGCTCTAACACTTTTCCTAGATTTATTTATGCGTGTTTCTACGGTGATTATCACTATCATAACTTATTATAAAATTGTCTACTTAGACTTTAGCCTTTGCCAAGCACCCATTGGAAGATTTGGAAACTGTAACACTGTTACTATTTTCCCAGTACCTAAAAAAGACTTTAAAAAACACATTTTTTCTAAGACTATTCGTTGAAACATGGCTATACTATGTAATGCACTAGTATAATATAATATAAAAATGACACTGACTTCTAGATAAACATTACTGTTTACATATACAAGGGTTTTTTTTGGCAAATGCCAGAGCTCTAGTCACCCCAGGAGGTCAGTCAAGATGCTCTATTTCCTGTTCAAGCATCACCACTAGTAATAAGGATTCTGCATGTTAAGATGTTCCCTGAGTTATACATCTGTTTTCTGGAGGGTTTCAGGGGTGTAACTGAAAGCTGAACTTGGCCTTCCCACAAGCCTGATGAAAATCCATCTCCCATAGCTGTGTTTTCAGGACTAACAGGTCAAAATGGCAAAAATATTTGTCACTAAAATCAGTGAAGATTATTTTGAATACCAAAAAAGTATGTTTGTTGATTAAGAATGTGCTATTTTTATAGTTACTTTTCAGAGTAGATCTGCACTTAAAGGGTGCTATTTTTCTGTTATATAGAAGGTTGAGCAGAGGACCAAGGATCATGTGGGGCAGTTCTTTGTGTTTATCCTGAATCTTCTCCCATGCACCCCAGTTGCACCTTTTAAACCACCACTTTTAAAAGTGAACAGCCCACACACTAACAAATTTCACAAATAACTTTTCAAGCAAGAGTTAGTAATTCCCTAAAGACTGACTTTCATGAAAGCAGAGGGCTTCTAGGAGTATCATGAAGAAACCTTTTAGAATAGTAAAACTTGTACAAGGAGACAAGTTATGTTCAGTGGGATCCTCCATCCAATAAGAAAAGTAAAGACAGAGGTACTATTCATGTTCAGGTCATTAATAATTATAAGATTTTATGCAGCAAGCTACATTTTATTTATATCTAAACGTTGATTTTCCAGAAAGCACGTTAGATATAAATATTTACATCCTCTGCCATAAGTCAGCCAAGTCAGAAAAGATCAATACTCAAGACCAAACAGAATTACACTTTAAGCAATCTCTAGTATTGCCATTAAGTTGACAGAATTTTATTTTTTGCATGGAGCTGTACTATTCCATACAAGATGGAAATGCTAATTACTACTACTTGTGGAAAAAGCTTGTTAATATTGAAGAATATTGTTCACATTAGATAAGAAAGGCATATAGATCTAGGGAAAGCATAGTTAATTACTAAGAATAAGAATGTAATGTTTAATGCAACAATACAGCATGCCAGCAGTATATGTTTTAAACTCTAAAATTTCCAGTGATGGCTTTTAAACAAAAAAAGACTGAAGGTCAAATAGAGATCTATCCGGATCAAATGGTTACTTACAATTTCACTAGTATGTTCTCATTTAACATTCTATATCATCTGTTTTTCCTCTTAATGATAATTAATTACACTAATGTAGGTTTATTTTTCTAACCAATATGAAGAGGATAAATTGGGCTACAAAAATAGCCAAATTATGGTGAGATCCAACTTCTTCATCTAAAGAACACATATGGCTCAAAAAAGACATCTAGATCTTGCTACCAGAATCTTTCCTGATATTGTGTGGACTTGGTCTTAATTTTAGCTTATTTCTAGGCATAAGCATCTCCCCCTTTAACTCCTTTAATCCTTCCTACTAAATCAATACTCCTACCAACCAGTCATATTGCGGTTCTTCTCTAAACTTCCTCCCGACTCTTGTACTTAAAAGTCCTCAATATTTCTACAGGAAGAGAAGAGGCAAGGTGAGTGTGCCTACTAAGCACCCTGCATCAAGCATAACCAGATGGAACCACCTCCAGGGCCTTGTCTACACTGCTATTTTTCTTCAAGTTTCCCCACAGGTGCAGTTCCACAAGAGGAAGTAAGAGTGGAAATACTCATGCAATCAGACCGACTCCCCTCCACACTAGAGGGCATGATGTCTAGCCCTCCTAGAGCAGGGTTAGTTGGCGGGGTGACTAAAAATCCCAGGGTCTGTATATGTTAGTGGTCCCACTGGTGGAGGTGCAACAGCAGACGAGAATGCTAGTTGAGACACGGCCTCAGGTGGGAGCGTAGCCCCGTCCATGTCCCCCCGGAATCCGTGGCCTCTGCGTGCAGCCCAGTCGTGGCGATGGCTTTGCAATGCAGACACCCGGCCCTCAGGAACGGTCCCCAAGCTCACCGCACAGGAGCCACCCAATGGCAGCTGGGATTCTCCAGCAGCCTGGCCAGGAGCGGAGCCGGAGCCAGAGCGAGGCAGGTGAAAGCCCCCCGGCCGCCAGCCGCACCACACAGAGATCAACCACCACCCGGCAACGGGGCTGCCGAGCGCACCCGCCGCTGGGCCCGGGGGGGGGTCTGAGCGCGCCCCTGACAGCGAGGGGCGGGGAAGGAGCTGACGGGCCCACTCCTCCGAGCAGGCAGCCCCACCCCGAGCGAGGGGCCCGGCCTAGGAGACCCTCCGCCGCGGCGCTGCCGCAGGGCACCCGGGGGAAGGGAGAGGGGGCTGCTGCAGGAGCGCCCTGGCTCTCTCCCCCCCAGGGAGCTACTCCCCCGGGGCCCCCCGCCGAGAGCCGGGCCCCCTCCCTCCGAGCGAGGCCCGGCCCCCGGCTCTCCCTGGCCAGGCGCCGCCCGCCGAGCGGCCCTACCTGCGAGGCGCGGCCGGGCCGGGAGCAGGAGGCGGCACCGGCCTCTCACACTCCATGGGGCGGGCAGCCCGGAGCGGCCCGGCGGTGGCAGCAGCGGGGGCCTCGGCGGCGCCTCCTCATCGCGGTGACAGACGGGAGCCCAACCCCTCCGCCCCGCTACTATCGCGAGAGCTGCCAGGATCACGTGAGAGGGGAGCCCAGGCTGGCACCGCCCCCTTCACGCGCATCACGTGACAGCGAGTCCCACTCCGGTTGGGTGAGCCGCAGCCCTAGTGCCTCGTGGGAGGCGATCCGGAGGGGAGGGACTGGGGAACCATAGACATGACTGATGGAGCAGACAAGCCCCAGCTCTCCCCTTCAGGATGGAGGCATGGAGTACCATGGAGAGGCTAAATGGGAAAGGTAGCCTTTCCCCCGCCCCTGGGAGAGCATCACAGCCTTGATGTAGCAGCCAGGCCCACTTCTGCAGCAGGCTAGTGCGATGAGTTCTTTCCCTTAGCACTTATAGCCCTAGACTCCACTGGCAGGGAACAAGAATCTAGTTTATCCCGCAGGCTGTAGCCCTGCATCTGCTTAAAGCTTTTCTTGTATTAATACAGCTCAGGAGCAGAACCGAAGGCTGCAGCTAGAGGAATCATGAAGACTTTTGGTAGTGATGCTGCAAGTTGGCCATGTTTGTTTACTGGGCTAGGGCCTTCTTTTCCTCCTCAGTAATAACCTGGTACAGAAACCAAAAGCAAAAGCGGTGTTACTGGAAATAAAGAAGCCATGCCTGCTTTCTCTCCCTCCACAGAAAGAGAAGGCAGGCCTTTTGCACTGTATAACAATGAAGAGCTCTACAGGGCAGTTACTCTGTAAGTTGAAACTTCAATCAGGAACATCTCAGAAAAGGTCTGCAACAACCTCAGTTTTTTGCTACATTCTTGCATCTATGCTTCTGGAGGCCCGTGATAATTAAGTAGGCCATTTCCAGCTTTAAAGAGCTATAATAAAGGTTGACGCAGTATAAATTCTGCATCCTTTGCTCAGATAAATCATTTTATCTTATAGACTACCACAAAAGGTGATTATATATGTATGTAACAAAGACTGTGGTTCCCAACATGATTAGCAATTGAGAATGTGCTTAGAATATGGAGTCAG